CCATCTCTCTCTCTCCTCGTTCGCATCTCGCTCTGAAGAATCTTCAGCTCTATTTCTCTTTGCGATCTCTCTCTCTCGGAGTTGTGATTTCATCTCTATTGCATCACCAATCGCTGAGGGTTTAGGGTTTTTGCATCGAGGCCAATCTGAGATCTAATCCACCATCCTTTCCACTTGTAAAGCAAAAAACAAAATCCAATTCGAGTAGAGAAGATGATAGCTGTGATTGGGTTGCTTCTGGGTTTTCTGGTTTCAGCATTGTTCTTAATCCAAGGCAAACGAGCAAGAAGAACAAACTTTGATCAAGAGAAGCGATCTAATGAGCCTGTAGATGTAAGACCCAAAAGTTACAGCAAGAGTGAAGTCGCATTACACAACAAAAGACACGATTGTTGGATCATAATCAAAGATAAGGTTTATGATGTTACTTCTTATGTTGAAGAGCATCCTGGTGGTGACGCTATTCTAGATCATGCTGGTGATGATTCTACTGTTGGGTTTTACGGACCACAACACGCCACTCGTGTTTTTGACATGATTGAAGATTTCTACATCGGAGAACTTCGCAAGTAAGAAAAGGATTTGAGTTTTCTTTTCTTCCGATTTAGGATTTGTGAGGATTGTGGAACCTTTTCGGTGTTGTGTTTCTTTGTCTCTACTAGTTTAACTCTTTTTCTTCCATTGTAATGCCAAGTTTCCTCCTTTTCATGGCAAATCTGCAAAGATGATGAGTGACCTTAACTTAAGCTCTGTTTCAAGAAATACATCACTTTTGGTACACTGATTGAGAGTAGTAGTCTCTGTATCTGTGCATCCAATGTGCTTTGTCAACTTGATCTAAACAACCCAGAAAGCTGGGAAGGTATTGAGTTTAAAGCTATTCTATCATCACTTGTGGGACTCAAAAGGATCTCAAAAAAACACAACTATTTTTATGTGATTTAAGAGTCGCTTCATCTTATAATTGGAGTTCCATCTGATAGAGACCTAAATCCAAAATCATAAGCATTGATATATCCTCCATGAACTAAACAAACTACCAACGGTCATATGAAGCTGGTCGGCCTCCAGCTCGGCTAGGACGGTCATAGGGTCCTGGTCTGCTTCTATAGGCTCTTCCCTCATCACGTAACAGTCCCATATACCTATCACTTGCAACCCTTGCGTATCTGTCCCTGTCATAGCCTCTCTCTCTCCTGCCGTAATCATCCTCGACATGATGAAGGTCAGGCATCCCATACCTCTCACTCACCAAACGTTCTCCAGGTGGCCCATATCTACATCAAAAGATTGTGACTTTCTTAAACCAATACATGTTTGGAACCGTTTAGACCAAACATAAGAGATACAAACCTCTCCATTGGATAGTGATCACGGGTTTCATACTTGTCTCCAACCTCAAAGCAGTAGCGGTCTCTATAGTTATATCGTCCACCATCACGTCGTCCATCCATGTAG